TGGTCTTGCAGTCCCCCTGGGCCTGATATGCAGCAGTTCCCTGTGTAAATGGAGCTGCTTTGCACATTGCAGTGCTTTGTGGGTATTTGGCTTGAAGATAAACAGACTCTTCAGAGCCTTCCAGGATCCAGTGGATTTTCAGGTCCTTACCAGAGGAATACCTTTTGGTTTTGTTTCAGTGGCAGAAAACTAACCTAAAATGTGTAGTTGAATGCTTAAAAATCTGGCAAATCTTGCAGAGATTGCAACATGTTTGTTTCCAGTGCATCTTTTTGACCCAGTACCGAGCTTCAGATTCTTATCATACAGGAAAGGACAGCAGAGTACAGGCTTGACTGGGACCAGAGTTCTGGGTCCTCTCTGTGTTTGCAAAGTAAAAAAGTTGAAATACACCTAAAGGGTTTCTGTGCGTTGGATTTTTGTAGGATTGTTTTTTGCACAAACAGATGAAATAGCTGAAGGCGTACACCTGACCAGTTTTAAAAAGTTAAAAAAGGTAGTTTCCATAAGCTCAGGGGCAGACACAACATTTGGGGAGGAGGAGAAGGGGGCGAAGGCAGCACAGGTGGGGTCTATACGTAGCTTTCGGGGCAAGAGCACTTGCAAGCCTTATGTTCTTCTTCTCTTCTGCTGCAGGTTTAAGCGTTGCCGTGCTCGTGTGATCTGTCATCTGTATTTGTGTGTGCCTCATGGTCTGAACTCATCCACTGAACAAAAAGAAACCCTCAGATCTTGCCACTGCTGAGATATTTCATCTTGTCTGCTTTCAGTACTCCTCTGTCCTTCCACAGGGTGGAAATGTATGTCCTCACTGCTTATGCTCATTTCCTGCCCTGTTGCCCATCCTGTGTCATACAGCTGCCTCTGTTTCCTCTTGCTATTGTTGTGACCAAGCCACTTTTCCTATTTTCTCAAGAGGTCTTTCCTATCTACAGTACCAGAGTGTGTACAGCTCTGTCAGATCTCTCTTAGGTACTGAAGGTTTTCATAGTTTGTCTCTTGCAAAATACAAGTGTTATGTTCTAGCACTGTGATTATAAAAACTTAAACTGCTTCTCAACCTGTGTCTGCTGCAGTGTTGGCAGATGTTTTAAAAAATGTCATTTTATGCTGAAATTTTCTTTGCATACCTTCCCACATAGCTGAAACAGTACCTGAAATAGACATTTCACAGCTAGTTACAAAAAAAGCCAAACCTCAGCCCACAAATGAGGATAAAGGGATTTAATTTTGTTTAGTTGTTTTTGCTATTATTGTTTCTAATGTAGTAGAATAAGGGGAAGAAACCTATACATGTCTGCTTTGAAAGCAAGTGCCCTGGGACACATCGGCGCTTTTTCCTAATGTAAAGTGTCTTACAAAGAGGGTTAAATGTGTGATCTTTATTCCTTGTCCTGAAAAAGACAAGGAAATATGCAAGATAAAGAAACAAAATTTAGTTGGGAAAAGCAGATATGCAATGTACTTTTCAGATCAGTATTCATTTACCTGTTGTGGAAGGGAGAGCATGGTGAAACTTTGCTACTTTGTGGTAAAGGCAGTTGTCTTCCCCTCCTGCCCCTTTGTTCCACCTGGAGACTTGTACAAAAGTCCATGTAAATAAGAGTGGGTTTCAGTTAATTTAATCGGAGTTGTGGGCAGCCCAAAAACTTGGCCTATTTCAATTGTAAGTTCAGCATTCTGAATGTGTCAGGTTTGTGTACCTACGGAGCATAATGGTCAGAGATATTGGCAGAGGAAGAAACTGCAGCTTTGGCAACTAGGTAAGGGGCTTTTTGTACCCAGTGAGGCATGGGGAGATAGTTTGGATTTCAGCACAAGCAGAAAACATTCTGACCACATGTTTACATGGTCAGCAACGAAACAACAAAATATTGACAAGTAGTTACTGTATTTTGATGCATGTAACATAGTGGTTATCTCTTTGAAAACAAAACTGCAATTCAGCAGCACTGAGGAATCTGGGTATGCACAGATAATACAAGGGGAAGTTTATTCTAGGACCTGTCTCCTTCAGAGCTCCATAGAGTCTGATTTCCCCATAGCCTGTGTCCTTTCCCATGGCTTGCTCTCACCACTCCAGTAGTGTCTCAGCTTCAGATTTGTGTGTGCTGTCTGGGGTTTAGACTGCAGAAAATAAAAGATGGTACTATCTTCAGCTTTCGGAGCTAATTGCTCATTAGAGCTAGGCTTTCTTAGGAAAGAAAATATGGCACAGGTTTTTGGGTTTGTGGTGGGTTTTAGTTTTGTGCCCCAGGATGTAATGCAGTTCTGTAAACTTAAAAACTTACAGCATTTGTACTCTGCAGTCTCTGAGGAGCACATATAGTGACACATTCTGCAGCAATGTCAGGCTTCAGGAGTGTAAAGAAGTGAGGTCTGATGTGCAGTATGTAGATGTTTTTTGGTGTTGTGTTGTCAGATTAGCACCACATTTAAATGTGTAGCTACAGTCCATAGAGCTTGGAATTTCAGACATTGTTCCTGTTATCCTTTGAACAGAAGCAG